CTGTATAGTTAAAGTTAATTCGTTTGATGTCCAATTTATTGGTTTTAAATTAACATTGTTTTATGAGCGCGCCACAAAGGCGCGTGGCGCTTCATACACGCGCACCTGTGCGGGGCTCTAATGAACTCTGAATGTGCGTGTTAAGCTGTGAGGATCACATTTTATCCATGTCCCATCATAACAGCCAGTGGTCGTTATAGTGACCCACTATGAAGCAGATCCATACAATCAGAACCAGGTTATGTAACGCAGCGCGTTAAGCGCATTAAGAATAAAACCTCCACTGTTTTCTTGTCATTAAAGGAACAAACCTGGTCTGTGCTCCTTAATAAACAGCATTTATCTGTTTCTAGTCCTGTCGGTAACAGCTGAGCGGATGCAGCACTGCAGTAGATTTTAAACAGGAAGCTTTCATCCGGAGGGATGCCCGCCTATAGCCGCCTTTTCCAGCCTCACGCAGATTTTAGGATTTATTCGCAGAAATAGATCAGCTTGGAAATGTGATGGTCGCCTACCTCCGACTGCAGCCCAGAGAAAGATCGCGGTTATCAGAATTCCCATAGGATCCGTGAGTGAAGTATCCTGCAGGAGATAACCTTGAAAATGCTGGGCTGGATTTTCCTCCCACAGCCGCTGAGTGAGGTGGAGCCGCGCCTGTGCGCGCGCGTGTGTGTCTGTGCGTCCTCAGATCAAAGCCCAGACCTAGGAGGTCAGGTGTTCCTCTGCTGATACAGTAGATAGATAGATAGATAGATAGATAGATAGATAGATAGATAGATAGATAGATAGATAGATAGATAGATAGATAGATAGATAGATAGATAGATAGATAGATAGATAGATAGATAGATAGATAGATAGATAGATAGATACGGAATTTAATTCAGTTTATTTATATAACACCGATTCAGTCATCTCAAGGATGAAAACAATTCGAACAGATTGGTCTGATTAGTTCAAAGTTTTCTATCTAAGGAAAACCAGCTAATGCATGGACTCATTGACTGGACATCAATACCTCAAACCATGCATGCTTGTAGTGACAGTGGGGAGGAAAACTTCCTTTTAACAGGAAGAATCCTCCAGCAGAACCAGGCCCATGCTAGAAACACGGAGCCAGGCAGATGAGCTCTAGCCAGCTCCCATGTGAGAGGATGAAAGAGAGTATATACAGTTAGTCACATTCAGAGAAACAGGATTACACTGAAAAACAGGCTGTTCTCCAACATCCACAAACAAAGGTGTTGATGGCAGCGGCACAGCCGACACCCCTCTCCAGTATGGTGTCACAGCTAAACAGGAACAGACCAGATGAAGCTACTATGAGAAAAAGCAGAGAGAGCATAATGTTTGAGACTGAACAAACACATTCTGCAGAATGGGAGAATAGAGATAGAATGAAACAGAATAATGAAAAAAGGGGTACTTATGTCCTCCAGCAGTCTAAGCCTATAGCAGCATAACTATAGAGCTAGCTAAGGTTACCCTAAGCAACTCTGACTATAAGCTTTATCAAAAAGGAAACTTTTAAGCCTAACCTAAAAGTAGACAGGGTGTCTGCCTCCGGACTAAAAATGGGTGTTGGTTCCACTGGAGAGGGGCCTAATACCTAAAAGAACTGCCTCCCATTCTACTTTTAGAAATTCTAGGAACCACTAGTAAACCTGCAGATTGAAAGCAAAGTGTTCTCAATCATACCTCTGTTATCAGATGGAGCTTGGCCATTTAAGGATTTATATGTGAGAAGTGATTTTTCATGGAGGGGAAAAAAAGAATGAAACCTACACAACAATAAACAGAGGAAGACCTCTTTTCATAGTTTATTGAGGCACAATCTTATAAGTTCTTCTTATTCCTTTAGAATTATTATCATCAAATCAAAAGAGAAAATTACATTTGTTTAAGGCACAAATCAGTTACAATATGTTTTGTTAGAGCTTATTATAGGAAACTGCTTTAATATTACTGATGGTGGTCGGAGGGACTGGTGACGCCAGTGTACGGTAGCCTTGCTTCTGCACTGGAAAAAACATCTAAAAATAAGTCAAAACTTCTTAAAATAAGTTGATTTACCCATAATTTGAGTAGCTAAATAAGATGATTTGCCAATGGGATGAGTATTTTTATGCTTAATATAAGATAATTAGATAATATGCACTTGAAATAAGACAAATTGTTTTTTTTGTTATTTTAAATGTAAATTGGCTTGTTCCATTGGTAGTGTCTCACTTACCTACTCAATTCAAGGCAAAATACACTTATTTTAAGAAAACAGGACTTATTTAGATTTAAAATTTTTGCAGTTTGTCAGTGAGCCCCAGGGCAGCGGTGGCTACAAAGTAGCTCGCCACCATCAGTGCGTGAATGGGTGAATGACTGAATATAATGTAAAGGGCTTTGGTCAAGTCTTCTGACTTTAAAAAGTGCTACACAGGTACAGTCCATTTTACCATTTACACTTAAAAAACATTTATATCATAATTAATTGTCTTGTTCTATATGGATTTTGCTCTTCTCCAACTGGACTTTTAACAGGAACCAAGTTCTTTATTCAACTGAGACCAACATTGAGCTCTTTGCAGCTATGTCATGTGTGCGTATTTAGAATTAAAGAACAAAAAAGTATTTTGACACTATCAGGTCTAAGCACCTAAAACATCATGCATATGTAGCAGGAGGACATCTCCTCATGCTCCTGGAGGCAGGAGTGTTGGCTGCAGGGGCAGTGTCAGCCAATTGCCTCTGGAGGGCACCCTATAAAAGGGGAGTGGTGGCATTATCGGTTACCCTCTTCCTCTGGTTCCTCCGCTTTGCTTCCGGGTCGCCTCGGCTGCTGGTTAACGGTACAGGTAGGTTGCAGTGGCTGCTAGTGCGCTCTATGGATAATTGTGGTGCTGATGTGCATCTTTGGTTTGTTAGACAAGACGTTCCCGGTTGCAGCGCTCGTGATCAGCGCGTCAATCAAACCTGGCCGTAATCGGCAGCTTTGCCTCCGTCCTCTTCCTCAGTGGGATTTCTCTGGTGGCCTGATCGGTATGTATGCTGTATGACAATTTGACACATTCACTTCCTGCTCCTCCACAAAGTAGTAATATTTTGTTGACAGGTCTATGTGGGGCCTGGTGATCTGGGGAATTCCAGCGGCGTTAACTTGGGAGAAACAACACAGCTTTGACACGTTTCAGCTGTAGCTTTTTGATAGCTCAAGGCAGTCGGACGCCTGAGCTGCGGCTCCACCTCGGTTCCAATTGTTGTTTAACCGCGGCGGTGCGGTCTGAGACGCCTTAATCAGCCGGTATCGTGGCTGGTTAAACTTGGAGCCCGCCTGCAGCAGAAATTGCCCTCTTCCAGCAGCATAGGCTGGGCTGGATTATTCAAGGGGCTGTTTATGTGACAATTGTTCAACCTCTGTTACTGGACTGGTTCTTGATTGTTATTATTCCCGGTATTATTTTTCTTATCCTGAGTTTATTCAGTTATCTGGGTTGCCTGAGTCCATGGGGAATTGCATTTTGGGTTCCAATTGTTCCTGTGACTCTTAATGTTTTTTTTTTTTTTTTGGGTTATTCTTTTTTTTTCTCTCCCCTTATAGTGTGTGTGCGCGTGTGTGTGTGAAAAGCTATTTATGCCCCTCTTTGTCTTTTCAGTTGCTGAGAGCTGACGTGGTGGTTCCTGGTGTCCTGGTGGTGGGGACTTCCCGTTTTGGTGTGCAGTGCCGCCCCCTTCTAGTCCATTGTTTTACAGAGTGCATGTGTGTAGTGGCTGCCACGAGTGATTTGGGGTGCCTTCCTTTCTGTTTTGCTTTATCTACTGGGATCACTCCTCACTTCGCCTCGACCCACTCCATCAGGTAAGCCTCAGCACCTGAATTAGGCTCCCCCCTCGCCTTCCCGTGTGTGGGGGTAGTATATTTTAACAAGACCTGTTAATTTTAATCATGTTTAAATAAAGAATTGCTGTTTTTTTCTAAATTATAACCACGTCTCTGACTCTCTTTATGGTAGAACGGATCTACGTATCCTACCTTTAAAATTAATTCTTTGGGTGAAATTCCCAAGGTGGCGTTATTGGTCCATTAGAAATCGCTAGTATCAGGTTCTCTTTCCTGTATACACCACCCTGCTGCCACACATAAATATAAGGAAAGAAAGAAGGCACAGAGACAATTAATTTAGTTTTACTCGCGAGGAGGAGACTGCAGAGTTTACAAATCTCCAACCCACTCTGCCGGTCTTCAGCTTTCTCCTCGCTATTTATTAAAGTCGGGGGGGGGGGGGGGGGGTCCCTGGTTACACAAGCTGAGGTTGTGCTAAAGGAATAGGAAACAAGAAATACAATTAAATTTGCAGCCTCAGTGAACAGGTCATTTTGCATTTAAATGTCTTGCGGTCAAATTGTCCGAGAACCTCCTGGTTTCGTTAAGCTTGAGCAATACTTCCTGAGAGTTGACCTGCACTGCTTGTGCAACACCTCTCTGGAACACTAATATATCACACATTATACATAATAAGAACAAACATTAAGTATCTTATACGTAATTATTCCAACAGACACCCAGTTGTTTTAGGAATGGGGAGGAAGTGTGAAGCTCCTGAGCCTCTTTCTCTGACTAAGGATGTCTGCTTTACGAATCTGTCACATCTTTGCTGTTTTCAGACGAGGTGGTTCTGCTGGTTTGCTCCGGAGAGCTTGTTTCTATAGGTCTGAGGCCGGGGACAATGTAGACCACTCTATTTGGGGTGTAGGATCAGCTCTATTAGAAGGAGAGTTTGAGCAAGTTTTTTAAAATATATTTAACTCCCCTTTAAGCCACAGACAGATGGAGAAGCTCCATCTGGGGCAAATATGGAAGTAGAACCATTGTTAAAGTGTGAGAAAAACTTGGTTTCTGTCTTGGATCTGTATGACCCAAGCTCAGATAGAGTCATTGAAGTCATTTATGATTCAATAGCTTAAAAGATTTAACTTTAAGTCTTCTAAAAATAAAATAATTACACAACTCAAGATTCAAGTATGCTTTATTTAATTTGAAGAAAAATGACACAACAACCCCATTTTCTCTGTGCAGGAACTGCTCTGTTTGACCAGAAATGGATCAGAAGCTTCTGCTGGCAGGACTTTCATCTTCTGTTAAGACCAGGCCTGGGGGGTCTACTGTGTTGGTTGGGTCCGATGTATTTCAGCGGCGTGTACTTTGGCTTCTCAATCACTTCAAGACCCAGATAAGGCTGCAGGGCTCGAGGAACGCGCACTGTTCCATCCTGAGGTTAAAAAGGCAATTTAAATCACCAGACAGGATATTTTCATTCTGTAACAACAATCTTGACTGCATTTTATTAGAATTTTATGGGATAAAAATGACATAAGACCAAAGTGATGTATGATTTTTAGTCTCCATTTTCCTCCAATACCCCTTAATAAAACATAGCTGCCTTCAGAGGAACAATGATCAGCAGAGGTGGAAAGAAAACCAAAATAATGTAGTCGGGTAAAAGTACAGTTACATTAATGCAAGTTTACTTCAACTCACTTTAGGTTCAAAAGTTAGTAAAATAAAAGTAAAAAGTATCTCCAATTAACTTTTATTCTAACAAATAATATTTTTTCAATGAGCAGAATAAGGTCCTTCTTGTACTTTTTCATGAAGAAAAAGATTAGATATTGGCCTTAAACTCTTCTTACTTAAAGACGCATCTTAATGGAAGAAAACGTAACCCAAAGATAAAACCCGTCAACATGTGAAATTAATCTTTGGGAGGTATTGTTTTTTAAACAGTACAAACTAAATGTTTTAGCGATCTCTTCAGTGGATCATTTCCCTCCATCTCAGCATCCTTCTGTATCACCAAACCCTCTGCATCCTTCCCTTCATCTATGAAGCTTCCTCCTCCTGAGAACCTGCTACTTCTGACTTTTAACTAACCCACTGTCACTCTAATCTAACCGTTTAAAATAACTGTTTGAAATAAAAAAAAACTTATGTTATGCACCACTGACCCAGAAAATGATCCCAGTTTATCACTAAACTCTGAAACTTTGTCTATTTCTTCCACTTGCTCCGTAGGTTAAATGTTGATTTCTTTAATGCAGAATAAAATATAGATTTGATGTTTGTCCTTTACTTTGAAGATCTTGAGATTTCTACTTAACTGTGAAGCCACAGAGAAAAAAAAAAGTTTTCAGAAGACCTTTATTCTTTAAATTTGAACAAAACACAGGAAATTAGCTCCTTTATTTTAACCCTTTCCTGTTTTCAGCATGGAAAGATGGACGGTTTGTGCCTTACTTTGGTCTGGTGGGTTTCCAGGATTGATATGATCATTCGAGGAATCGCACACGCCGTGGCGTTCACCTAGGTTAGAGACAATGAGAGACGACAGGTTCATGGTGTACTGCAGAGCATTAGCAGCGTACGGCGGCGGTCCTTACTGTGTGGGCGTACTGCAGGCTGCCGCCCTCCCTCTCATACAGCATGTTGAGGCGTCTGCTCTGATAGTCTGTACAGTTGGAGGCACTGGAAATCTGACACACAGGAAAGAGCAGCATCAGCTCAGTCACTCATCGGAGTGGCTGCTTGTGTTTAACTGCAGATTAACGGGTGAATATTAATGAAACTCGAAATATATCGACTGCTTTAAGGAAACGATGACACTAAAGTGGGGCAGACCTCTCCATAGCTGTTCCTCCCTGGCATCCACGCTTCGATGTCGTACTTCCTGTACGCAGGAGGACCCAGCTCCTGAGTGGGCATGTCTAGAACTCTGTACAAAAGGAACAAAAATAAACAAGAGGATCAACAAATGCCATGAAAAATGTATCATAGTAAATGAACAAGTTTTTTTTCTGGGTCTTGAAACTGGAAACAAAAGCGGGATATTTTATATTTAAAGCAAGACAACAGAAAATAATTGGAGTGAGATGGACAGCGCCTCTTCTGTCACCTGAGACCCTATTAAACCTTGGTTTCACTGAAAAGTATCTCCATGAGAGATTTGAACCCAGCAGAAAGACTTTCAGGCTTCTGACTAAGGAGGAAATGCCACATCGTTTTGCGTCTTCACTGCTGTGGCTGCAGTTAATTGTAGTTTAAAAACATTTTCTTTCGTCCAAGATCTACCTCTCCTAACATCTATAGGAAAATCATTTATAATAGCAGGTTTAAAAAGCTAATAAGAACTGCTTCAGTGGAGGAGCCAAACACCGGGACCAGACATTTAGTTAAGCAGCAATGTAACTTTTAGCCACTAGAGGCGCCTCTTCCTGTCCAAGCAGACCTTTTTCAATCTGTCGGTGTAAGCACACTCAAAAGCTGGATCAAAAACTGCCCCCTAACCACTAACACTTATTTATCAAGTCTAAATCGCAATAAAGTTTAACTCGCAGCTGTGGAAGGCGCCTTGATTAAAGGTGAGGGGGGGTATAAACAAGAAAAGGAACAGCCTCTTCCCTCCAACGGAAAAGCAGTGGTTGCTAAGGCAACACAGGGATGCCCCATATGCACGGCTGCAGCCCCTTTCTTAAAACTAATGTATATGGTCAGAAAAAAACTATGTCAAAGAGGACCCTTCATTTTGGAAATAAATACTTTTTTCCTCATGTCTAACTTGGTGATTTTTTGTGATGAAGATGCAGCAAACTGGTGGAACTGACATTTAAATGCACGCATTTCTTCCACCATCAAGCCACTGCTACACCTGCATCCAAATTCCACTTAATGCAGACTCGCTTTTTAAGGGCTGAACGGTCCACTCGCCCTACCCACTACAGGGTTTGGGATTTGCCTTAATGTGGAGGAACCTCCGCGGGAACGTGAAAACAGAGGGTTAGTGCTCAGGCTGTGTGTATTTAAATCATTTATAATTATTTTACATGAATTGTATTTCTTAACCATAATGTTTTTATGTAATTGGTATTGTAATTGTATCTTGTGATTTTATACGTGTGTTTATTTTTAAGGTTGCCTTTTTTATACCTGGCTGGGGGACTACAGATGAAAATTAGCCCTCCTTAGCTAACTCGGGTATATTTACATTGTTTTAATGTTGATTAATGTACACTGTCACATTTCAAATAAACAATAAACAAACAAACAAGGGTTAGTGTTTAGGGGCCAGTTTGGGATTGGGCCAAAGCATTCTTTCTAAAAAGAACAAAGACATACTGGTGGCAACATCTGATAAATTTATATCTACACTAATTTATATCTATAATTTCCCTTCTTTAAATGAAGGGGGGGTGTTTAGTATAAGTTTATTCTTATACAGGTTTAATATAACAGACAACTTTTATTTATATGAATAAAAAACAAAATTAATTTGCAGCAGAGGGAACAGGTTTTCTCACATATTAAAGTGTCAATGAAAAACAAATCTGTCAACATTTTCTTTGCTTATTCAACCCCTGATGCTGCAGTTGTGCGTTTCCTGACCTGTAGTGCAGTTCCAGGGCAGAAAACATCTCCTTCTGCAAGGAAACAAACTCCTCCAGCAGCTGGGAGCTCTCCTCTCCCGTCTCATCAGCCGTCACCCCAAACATTTCCACCTGAAGCAGAACATAAAGGGATAAAGACCACAGCCTTTAGGATTAACTTTCCATCTGGACTTTAACTCAAATCTTCCATCTTCTGTGTCTTTGACCTTATTGAAGTGATGAACTCTGTAAAGGCCCCACGTCTCTCTCCCAGTGTCAGTCTCTGCCCTGTAGCAGGTGCTGCTGCAAACCGTCCTGCGGTGAGAGACGACAAGCCGCGGCGGTTAGTTACAAGTCGCTCCGTCCGCAACCGAAGATGAAGTGAGGAAAGCTTCTCACCTGACAGGCAGGTCCTTCCAGTTTACTGCGTGATCCATGAAATAGCCTGTGAACATCCAAACAAATAAAAAATGACAGCAACTCAGCAGGGATTTATGCACAGTCCTAACAGTAAGATGAACGCAAAGGTTCTCCATTACCGTTTCTCCGTATTGAACAAACGGTGTAAATTCAACAGCCTGAGGAAGTGGAGGCGTGTTGTGGAAACATGAAGGAGAGAAAGTCTCACCTGCCACCCCCACCTCCCCCGTTCCAGCCAGGTTGAGGTCTGGGAAATGTGCCGGGTCCAAGGAGTAGACCTGAGAGCGCTGAGCGTTTGACTGCATCCCACAACCCTCCTGGATGTGGGGAGGGTAAAAAAACAAGAGAATAGAAGACATTAAATATATATGTTTGAAGTTGATTGTTGGTTTAAAGTCATTCAGTTCATACTGCTGGCATTAGATGTGATACTCACAAACACCACCCCCTTTAGCATGTCTGGCACAACCAATGGAATGAAGCCCTGCAGCAGATGAAGAGAACTCAGCTTTCTATGCTTTTTTATGCTTTTCTTTGCCTTTATATTCCTAAATGGGATCTCACCCGTCGCTGCAAAGTGTCGAGGGCAAAGTTCTGAAGTGCGGTTTGAAGTCTGGCCCCGGCTCCCCTCAAATAATACGACCGGTGTCCGGAAATGTGAGACAGATGCCTGCAGGAAACGATGGTCTTTAGGTGCTTTCACTTATGGGTCACAAACGTATTGAGCTAGTTCGGTGAAACCCGCCTTACCTCTGTCTGATGAGGCCCAACTCCTCCCCGAGCTCGACGTGGCCTCTAGGCTTGAACGCAAACTCTGTAAACAAAGCAGGGTCATGATTTTCTGCCATAAAAAATATAGTTTGAAGCATGTAGAGCTTTCAAACACATAAATCACCTGCTTTCTTTCCAACATACTCCACCACCCTCGCTTGGCTCTCATCTCCAACTGGCTTAAAATAAAACAAAAGGGTAAATAAGTGAGTAAAAATGTATTAGTACAACAAATTTCATCATCATAAAAACATCAAAACAAGTGTGCAGTAAAATTATTACAAGCATCAATCAAGTACACAGCAAATCATCAAAACATCAGAATCGTCACACAAAATCAGAAAAACCATCAATCAGATCAACACGGTGAGACGGTCGCTGTGTACAGCCATTCACCTGCTGATCAAAGGCAGCTTTAATTAGGTGGATCTTCAGCTTAAAGGAGTTTAGTGTTTTGCAGTTTGCTCCAGATTAAAGGCGAATAAAAACCAAAAACTGCTTCTCCATGTTTGGTTCTGATGACACAAAGTAGACTGGAACCAGAAAACCTGAGCGTTCTGGAAAGTTGACACATTGGTAGCAAGTTGTTTATGTATTGTGGTGCTTAAATTATCAGACATTTATAAAATAATAGCAGCATTTTAAAGTCTGTTCTCAGAGCCATGAGAGGCAGTAAGAACTTTAAAGCCACGATGGTGTGCTCTATTATTCTAGTCTTAGTGAGAACACGAGCAGCAGCGTTTTGAATCGGTTGGTCTGAATGTGCTTTGTTTTTGTTTTTTTTGGCAGATCTTTAAAGATGCTGTTGCAGTAATTAATGCATCTAAAGATAATAAAATCTGAGGTCCTCCACGGTCTGTATTTGTGCATTGAACGCCAGTATCAGCGCTGTGCTGCTGAAGCTCAGTGTTTTCGCATCATTAACTGTTTAATGAAACTGTTCGAGTGACAAAACAGCTTTAAAAAGGAGAAACGTAACCTCAAGGCTTTAGCTGCAAACCTAAACCTCATCAGGAATCCTTGGGATTAGTTTTTTTTATTTCGTGTGTGTCCTCACCACATCAGGGTGGGTGCTGTTTGGCAGACGTAGCGCTCGGCTGTAGTGCTCCTGATCCAGCTCAGTGTCTTTAAGGTAGAGCTGGTTCAATCTGACGCGGATTTCGCGGCCCCTCTGCAGGGCCTGGGTGTACTCTGGGAGCTGCAGGAGAAACTTTTTGGTCAGACATGAGCGATGCATCATAGTCAGAGTAAACACAGGTTGGGTGCTTTGGTTCCACTCACATTAGCAAGGGCTTTCTTGTCATTTTGGCTCTGTGGGGGAAAAAAAGAAAATTAACCTATTTAGAGACACAACTTTATAATCCCATGAAAAGAGGCAGAAAAAAGGAACAAACCAAAGAAATAATCTTACAAGAAAACTTTTTATTTCCAGCATTTTTATATACATATATATTCATTTTATATACATACTTACATACATATATCTATATATATATATATATATATATCTATATATATATATATATATATATATATATATATATATATATCACATATATATATATATATATATCACACCCTATATAAGGTGTGCTTAATTATTAGGCAACTTCCTTTACTTGGGAAATTTGGGTCAGAAAAGAGATTCTTGACTTTGAAAAGTAAAAAATTGTCAGATGTCTTTCAGAGGGGAGTAGCAGCTTGGAAATCGCCAAGCTTTTGAAGTTGGATCATCGCACAATCAAGCAGTTCATGGCAAATAGCTAGTGATGCTGAGATGAGGCCTCATGAGGCATTGAACCATTTTGGCCAAATTGCTTCAATGATCCCCACAGTGCACGAGGCTCCATGTGAACATGTCACCACCTACTGGTGGAATGGAGGACTACAGTTTGTAATCAAATCTGTGAATTTTTTTGCAACTGTTTTCCTTTTTTTCATTTAAGTTGCACAGTTTTTCTGCCATTTTAGTGAAATAAACTCAAGCAGACAGTGAAAGTGTTTGTGCAAATTGGGCAATGATGAGCAAAATAAAAGGTTTGTCATTTTTATTCAAACATAATAGTTTTTCCACATTTTTCCGGTTTTACTCGGGTTGGAAGGTGTGTTCAACCAATCTTTTGGCTAAACCGACCTAATTTGGCAGCATTTTGACCCAATCTATATTTTTACTAGGGCAAACCAATGCAAATTAGCCTCATCAGCCAAAATAATTAAGTATAATCGCAACTTTCAAAAGTCAAAGGTAGGTCTTGAACCATCAACCTCAGGAGTGGGAGCCTGTGTCTTACAAATGAAGCCACTAAAATTGTTGACCGTTTAATGGAGAAAATACTACTTAACACTAACGATGATATTATGTCCTGTGGCTTGCTCAGATTTTGATCATTACATTGTTTATTCTAACCAAAATAGTTTTAACCAACTAGATTGGTTGGAAAAACAACCAACCAATCTATTCTTACAATCTATCCAAACTCTATCCAAATTACAGCAACTGTCCTACAAACTCCCACATCTTGACTGAATCCTGAGGCTGTTTAAATGCCTGCAGAAATTCTTGCGCTTTCTGAACCACTTCGCAAAGCAGTCACGTAGTATCACGGTAGCGAGGCTTCGGGTGTCCTCAATTTTGGTCCCTCCTCTAAATGAATCACGCCTCGACACGTGCTTTAAAGAAAAAGCCCCCTTCATTACTCAACACACGTCTCGAAGCCTCGGCTCATCTCATAACATCACTATAAATAGTCAACGGGGCACAAGAAGTGTGTTGAAAAAAGAAGACGCAAAATAACTCCCCATGAATTGAGAAGGATCAAGCATGAAGCTGCCAGGAAGCCATTAGCCACCAGTTGTGCCATATTTCAAAGCTGCAATATGTGTGGAGTGACGAGAAGCACAAGGTGCTCAATACTCAGGGACCTGGCCAAGGTAAGGAAAGCCAAAAAAGGCCAGCTTTGAACAAGACACACAACACAAAATGTCAAGATTGGGCCAAGAAATATCTAAAGACTGATTTCTCCAAGGTGTTTTGGTCGATGAAATGAGAGTGAGTCTTGATGGGCCAGATGGATGGATCAGTAAAGGGCAGCAAGTTCCTTATTGACTCAGACACCAGCAAGGTGGAGGTGAGGTACTGGTATGGGCTGGTATCATCAAAGATGAGCCTGTGGGACCTTTTTAGGTTGATTATGGAGTCAAGATCAACTCCCAGACCTACTACCAGTTTCTGGAAGACACCTCCTTAAACAGTGGTACAAAAAGAAGTCGCCATGATTAAAGAAAAAACATGATATTCATGCAGAACAATGCTCTGTCACACCCATCAAAATACACCACAGTTTAGAAGGGAAAAAATAATGACATGGCCCCCTTGTTCACCTGATCTGAACCTAATGGAGAACCTGTGTTCCTTCATGAAATGTGAGATCTACAGCGAGGGAAAAGAGTCCACCTCTGAACAGCGTCTGGGAGGCTGTGGTGGCTGCTGCACACAATGTGTATCGCATAAAAAAAAAAAATGTTAGAACTGTTAATTTACAGCCATATGTTTATATTACTATTTTTATATATATATTTTTTTTACTATTTTTCAAGGCTGCACTTTTTTAAAAAAAAGATGAAATTGTCCCAAGAGATGTTCCAAACGAAATTTCTTTTTGTTTTACACTTGTGTAAACAAAATGACAAATCTAAGTCTAAAACAGATCAAGACACTGACAGATTCTATGGATGGAAGGCTTTTGAGCGTCATGGTGGAGAAAGGTGGCTATATTGGTCACAGATTTGTTTTTGTTTTTGAATGTCGTGAATGTTATTTTCTGAATTTTGAGTATATTGGTTTACCTGGTCAAACTAAACAAATGAGATGGGTATATATTTGTTTATTATTACGTTGCCTAATAATTCTGCACTGTAATATTTACATGCACACACAGACATCCTCATAAAATGACCAAATCTAAAAAAAAAAACAACAACAAAAAAAACGTATCAACTTCCAAAAATATGAAACTTTGATTTTAAGGAGTCTTTTGATTAATCCTCAAACATGCAACTTCCCTGATAATTCTGCACACAGTGTATACATATATACATACATATACGCGTACTTTGTTATTTTTTGCGGTTAAAATTTGCAAGAAAATGTAAAAACTCACCACCAGGTTTTTAACTGTCTCGCTGATGCTTCCTTTCTCCTTCTCCAGCTCAGAGATCTCTGTCCTCACTGCCTGGAGCTCCTGCCACACACCAACCTAGAGCCAATAAACATGATATAAGGGAGAGAAACCCGGTTCCATGTAAACAAAGCTGATTTCTGCATGACTTAATTAAAAGGTGTAGTTACTGCCTCTGCCTTACAATTTTCCTGACATCGTCTCCTCGCAGGTCTCCCTTCCTGCTCTCCACGTTAACGATGACTTTGTCGGTCTCCTCACACACCGCCCTCATGTCCAGCTCGGGCTTGTCGCTGTAGCCTTCACGGACATGCTCGTACAGACTGCTCCGGGCTCCGTGCCGGAGGCGGTGCGGGACAACAGCGGCGCTACTGCGCCTTGAGGGCCACCGTCTGCCTATCGGCGGTAGCACTGACAGCGCGCCTCTAACTCTTGTAACAACACTCATGCAGGTCGCCATGTTTCTCTATAGGGCAATGCTGCATTCAGGGAAGGTAGGAATAGCTAACTTTATTCAGCCGATGATCATCTCAAGCACTTTTGGGAGTTGAAATAGGCTTGTAAAAAGAGTAGAATAAATAAAAACAGCGATTCTTAATTCCTACTTCATTAACTGTATTATATAAATATATTAATCGATGTGTATAAAGTTGAACATCTACAATCAAATATACATTAAAAATTTTATAAACAAATTAATAAAAATGATGAATATATGCTAAGAAAAAAACTAGAGGCTATTTCCATTGAGGTTAGCTGGTCTCACATCCTCTCGGTTTTAAAATCACAACTAGCCAAAAAAATTATATATACCAGAAGTCATTTTACGTTATTTGGCCAAAATAAATGGGCAAAGTGAATATATACATCTAAAAGCTGTTTTTTGTAATTTATCTTGAAGCAATTTTTAGTTAAATTAAAAAAATAAAAATACAGTTTTACACGATTTATTTGAATGCACCACGGATGCGGAAATCAGCTGGGAAACATGAAAATAAAGCAATAAATTAGATATAAATTTAGTTTATCTCTCTTTACTTAAGAAAATGAAGATCGTGGTGTTGATGTCAAAACGTATCCTTTTAGCTAAAATACCTATTTTCTAGTTTTTAAAATATTTGACAAGAAACGAGTCAATCAACAAACAGCGGTCACGTGACATGCCCAGCCAATCAGAGCGGGCGGCAGCTGGCTGTTGCGGTAATCCGGTTCAGACATGAGCGGCCGCCGGAAGCTCTGCCCTGAGATCGTGTTTTAGCCAAAACAAGTCCACTTTTCACCGCTTCACCTGCCAGTCGGGGTGTGCGGGCCAGACCGAACAGATATGCGTTACAAACACGCGTCTTTTAATAAGACTCGAAGGGTTTTCTTGGTAAGGTAAACCCGCTCGGTCCGCTGGTAGGGATGGTGTCACTCCGGGGCTCTGAGCAGAAACTAGCCTAACGAGGGTGCACTACAGGCCGGGGCGAGCAGCTCGGTTAAACCAGGACATTTTTTTTTAAAATGCTCACAGGTTTCCTGTAACCAGGAAGTCTGTTTCCCTGCAGTTGGTCCGCTCATAACGGGCTCTTTAATTTTTCTTCTCGGAGAGGCCCAACCAGCTTTCACGGTGGAAACAAGAAGGAGAGCAAAGGTATGAAGCTGCAAACGGAGCCATACTTTTAATAAATATAAACTGATAATCTGAATAATGACATTTAAAAAAAATAAAGAACAGCTTCTTCACTCGTTTTCGCCCAAACTAAAGTAGCTTTATGTAGCAGGAGGATAAATGTGCGGAACCTTTTTTCAGATGAACGCTGTGCGGGGGGGCACAGTTACCTGGCGGCCCCAGCCATGGCAGGACGGGGATGGAGGGGGAGGAGAGCCCCTCTCAGACAGTGACTCCGAGGAGGAGGACTTTCCGGATGACAGCACCACCCCACTGGGGGACTACATCACCCACGGTGAAGACAGCAACCCCCCCCCCCCCCCCCCTCTCATCTTTACCTGTCTGCATCCCCTTCTACTTTCTCAATCTGTGCATCTCTCTGTGTTTTAGGTCTAAAGCAGCTCCTGGACGCCCAGCAGCTGTGTGACGTCACGTTGCTGGTTGAGGGAAAGAAGTTCATGTGTCACAGGTAGAGTTCAGTCACCTCGCTTTGCAGGGTAACAACTAAAGGCGGATTTATGCTCAGAAACTGGCACGGACTGGTAATCTGTGATACCTGGCGTCTGCCCGGTGGGCCGGTCCTAATTTCAGCGTGCAAAAGCTGGCCCTCCTTAAATCATACCGGCCAATTTTTGCTTCTGAAACATAGCCTCGGCAACCATCAAATCTGTCTCTGTACACGAACACGCCCCCCTGCTCTGAGGTTCTGCAAACGTTGTTGCGTACCTCATAAAAATCCAGACTACACGTCGGACAGTCACAAACCCACGCAGACCTCAAGCGGAAGTGCGCAGACAAAAAGCGGCTGTGATTGGTCCTTGGTATGCCTTTCCAGCTGTCTGCGTGGTCATCCTTCTGGATTCGGTGCTGGGGCGCGCCATTTTTAAAAACCGAGGAGTAATAACAAAGGATGAACACTACGAAAGGTTGATCAAGGAGCTTCTATAGTACAACCCCTTGTACGATGCCTCAGACATGTTGTTTTGGAAAATAAACAATCCTGCCAGTGCCACCTAATAAGTTCTCTTGACCGTCCGCCGAAGTTCTCGCATATTCTTGAATAGGCTCCCCCTTGCGCTTTGGCGGGAAACTGCTGCGCTTCCCTAGAAATTCCAGACCGACGGTGCAGAAGCATACCAGCAAAACTGATTCGCGACCAGACCCAAGCGACATTTGATGTGTGCAGCTGCAGAAGTATAATCCGCCCTTTACTCTCTGGCCGAAGCTCCTACCTGTGACAGTAAACAACTCAAGGAGCTCAAGAAGTAATAGTATGCTAACTACCTAAATGATGCATGTAGTATATATAGCCCTTCTTGTCATGCATATCCCTGTGACGGTTGGCATATGGTGTCATTTTCTATTTCTTCAAACTATAAAATCCTTAGAATAAACTAAATTATAATAAAAACTAAAATGCTTTCTTTGAAATAAACTACGATGTTCCTCTTATATTTGACGAATTTATATCAGAATATTTTGCAAAAATATGTTTCGGTTCATGATGGGGTTTTGCATATGTTTACATCATTCTATGTCATTGCCCACATGCCACCTAGACTCGCAGTGAAAGCTTACACACCGTTCCCAGTCCGACTCTGCTCAGAAACCAGGTCGTCTGCGTGTGTGTTGCAGTTAACACAACAATACCCCCCCCCCCAATGACTCGTGAAGTTGGACCAGCTAGAAGAGCGAGGTCCGCGAGAATGCTGGGACCCTTTTTCCACCTGGATCCCTGCTCTTTTTGCCCTCATGTCCCTCAGTTGTCGCACAAACTAGACCCAAAGCTAGTTCGTGATTGTCCGTCTGGCGTTGTTGCGTGAACCACAGACGTGTTCAGTTCTTTTATTTCAGCTTAAAGTGGCTTCAGCGAGAGACCTGAGTGTCCAGATTTTTGGTGATGCTGTGCACTGCAAGTCAGCTGGCTCAAAGAAGGCTTTCCATTGGCAATGGGAAAGACAAATCCAACAAATATTTGATACCTGAAATCATACAGTCTATAGCGTTGGAGGTAAGAGTGCCTCCAATAGCCATGTTTTAATACTACTGGCTGAAAGCTAAAAGCAGCATGTCTATAAAGGAGCAGACCGTGTGTTGGCTACCTAAGCAGTTGAAGAAATGTATAATACCTAGCTAAAAAAGGACTATCCAGTTTGTTCCATCCAATCCAATACCTGGATTGAGCTTAACGGCCAATACCAATTCATCAGAGCTGATATCCAGTCCAAGTATTTGATCCGTGCAGCTTTAAATTTAACATCTGTTACCCTTACTTTCTCAGATAATGTATGGACTTTTATACTTGGCTTAAATCCACTCTGCATACATCTAATTTGACCAATAAAGGGAGTAATCAGAGGTATATGTTGTATGGTTATGTCTCTGTAACAGCTATAAAAAGATAAGAGAATGGATTAAAAACTATATCATGTTTTGTAATCAGGGTGGAATCATCGGCAGCTTTGTGCATCTGTTATACAGCAGCAATGGGGAAACCGAGCAGGTCTCTGGCTGCATTGGGGAAGTAGGGAGACGCTGGGGGCAGCTCTCATTGCTGTAGTGAGACGGAGGGAAAGCAGCAATCATTCTAACGTCACTAAAGCCCCTTTCACACCTTGACGATTTAGCCAGCATATGCCTGACCTTTAAAGTATCTGGCAAAAACGCTGGCATACATTAGAAAAGTTATGGGTCAGTTTTGTATAAGTTATAAGCAGGCTCAAGCACGCTGACACATTTGACGTACTGCAAGTAAAAAGGTCTGAAAAGTCCCGAAATGTAGCGACAGATTTATCATGACTGAGAGCAGAGCAGCAAACTCAAACAAGGAGTCACTGATGCCTGATTCTATCTCTAGTCTCAAGGACGTGTCCGTCTCTCCTGCTCCATCAGAGTCCTGCTGGCGGCTGTGAGTCCTTACTTCCGGGCCATGTTCACCAGCCCCCTGGTGGAGTCCCGCCTCAACGAGATCCGTCTGGAGGAAGTCACGCCCTCCGTTATGGAGACCGTCATCCAGTTTGTGTACACGGGCGAGGCGGGTCTCTCTCTGGAGACGGCCGAGGACTTGTTCGTTGCTGCCAACCGGCTTCAGGTCATGCCCCTCCAGGACTTGTGCTCCAGGTAAGGTTCGAGTTTTTACGGCTGATTAACATGAAGTGGGATAAAACTACAAGCATGAAGAAATGTAAAAGATGAAGACGTTAAATTGTTTTTAGATTGTGTTTGTAGAAAATCTCGCTGTTGTTCATGAGAAACCATCCTGTTTTGTTGATCTTTCCCACCAGGTTTCTGTTTGAGCACCTCTCAGTGGAGAACTGCCTGGGGATGTACTCTCTAGCTCGCTCGCATCACGACCAGCTGCTGCTGCGCGCCTCCCTGCGGCTGGTCGCCCAGCACTTCCCCCGCGTGGCGCGGCAGAAGGACTTCCTGCTGCTCGACCACGGCACCCTGGGCAGTCTGCTAAGCTCCGACCGCCTCGGGGTGGACTCCGAGGCCGAGGTTTACGACGCGGCTCGCCGGTGGGCGGAGCACCAACCTTTGGATCGCTACGCCCACATGCCGGCGCTGCTTCACCACCTGCGCCCCGGCCTGCTGTCCCAGGAGGAGAGCCGGCGACTGAGCCAGGAACTGGGGCCTGCTGCTGCGGGGGAGGGCCTAGGGGGGCCTCTGAGACCAAGAGAGGGGATGTTTGAAAAAAAGATTGTCTGTGTGGACCTAACGCCGCGGGAGGATGAAAACGTAGCTTTGAAGGAGCACACGGTGGACTGCTTTGATCCCCGGACAGGGAAGTGGGAGAAGTTAGCAGCGCTGTGTTCCCTGGTGAGCCCCGGGTGCACGGCGGTGGGCGACAGGCTCTTTGTGGCGGGGGGAGTCCTCCGTACAGGCTCTGTGTCTGCTGCCGTGCACGAATACGACACTGTGTCGGACAGATGGATAGAAAGGCCGGCGATGGCCCAGCCGCGCGCCATGCTGGGCCTGCTCGGGTGTGGAGACTCGCTCTATGCCTTGGGTGGCTGTAACCGCTCTGCGCTGTTGGACTCCAGCGAAGCGTTGGATCTGACTACGCTCCAGTGGGGCCCGGGCCCCCGGCTTCCCCTCCCTCTGCGAGCCTTTGCCTGTGCAGCTTTGCGTGGACGCCTCTACCTTCTGGGTGGAACCACGCTGGAACAGAACCGGGCTGTGGTGCACTCAGGCGTGCTCATTTATCACACCCTGACCGACTGCTGGACACGCGTAGCTTTGGACTCTGGCACCACCTGCCTCGCCGGGGGCGTGGCAGTGAGAGGAGGGGTCTGCGCCATTGGAGGATACATGAGGGATACCACCAAGTTCCTGGATGGGAATTACACCAATCTGGAGACTTTAGACGCCACAGGCCGAGTGCTGTTCTTCAGAGAGGGCAGGGGGACGGGGGTGGAGAGGGAGGTGACTGGCGGGGGGGTGATGGTCAGCGCCGAGCAGCGGGGAGCCGGCTGTGGCGGAAGCGACCGAGCACCCAGTCCCGTGGTGTTCCCCGGATTGCCTCGGCGGATAGCAGCAGGAGGCGTGGCCAGGTGGAAGAGGAGGATTTACGTTCTGGGCGGAGAAAACGGCGCACGCTTCTACGACAGCGTGTACTGCTGGAAACCTGGCTGGAGGAGCTGGGTGCAGAGGCGGGAAAAACTTCCCGGGGAGACTGGAGGGGTCAGCCAGTTCGGGTGCACCACTCTTAAATTCCCTAAAAAGCACATCCTGTCCAGATTAAGACTAGCCAAAGAAAACTGCAAGAAGGACAGAAGCAGGACAGAAGGGCGCCACCATGGCCGTCCTGTCGCTGCGGAATGAGCTCATGCAATGTTGTTGCTATTCATTAATTTAAAGCAGAAAATCTACTTTTATAAAACAAGTGTGCAGCCACCATGCAGGCCTGGAACAGATTACACCAAAATCCCACATCCTCCGCAACCGCCCCGCTCCGATCCAGACCGCCTGCGCAAAGCAAAACCGCGTAATATAGCACATGCTCAAGGGGAGCATGTGCTATATTATTATTTAATTCATAGGAGAAAACATGCGGTAATGAACGCTTAATTTAATATGACATATTTAAAACTCACCATCAGCATCAGTCATACGTTTAAGCCCAAAGATAATTTTTTCATTGTTGGCCTTTGTAATAGAATAATCATACAAAATTGGTTTGTTCTCTTCTTCCAAAAATCAGCATCTCTTCATCCATGCCGACAATAAAAAGTTTATTTTGACGATTTGAGATTTGCTCTTGAGAGTTATGACCTGATATGATGAAACTTTTAAGCCTCTTAGAATAAAATAAATATTTTGATCGAAATTCCTAGTATGTTAAAGTATAGATAGTTTGCATCCAATAATTTAAATAACCAGTCTTAGTTTGAGGAATATACAAGAATTAGGCTCTAATTTGTATTTACTGATTTGTCGTTATTTAATTTGACAAACTATCTTCTCAGCGTTCTTTTTCCTGTTTGGTGCGATTCCGCATCTTAAGCCGGAGCGGAGCTGAAAATAGCTCGACTCCACGCGTACGTGTGCGTCGCGTAGCGGTGACGGAGGATGTGGAATCTGGGGATTAGTCGAGCACCTGAATTTTTCCTGGTCCATCTTTTATCTGAGGAATTAAATCGTGTCAGAGCTGGAAATAATGTGACGCCCTTTTGAGCTTTTTTTTCCTCATTGCGTTGTTTAGAGAAGTTTACTGAAACATTTCTTGATGTGATCCTGTTGTCCTCTCGGGGCCTGTGATGTGACTCTGCAGTTAAGGGCTACACAAATAAACTTCAAAGAAAAAACATAGAAAGCCTTTTTTTTTCTCCACTTTGTTCATAAATATAACGCAAAATTGAGTTGTAAAGGTTTGAGGTGGATACAGAACAGCGCACCCTACTGGAGCACATCTGCCTATAGTTGAGCTGGTGAAAAGTTTCACATCAGGTAGATAGTTGGAGTTTTTTTCCTTATTTTTGAAAACAAAGAACAATTTTTGTCAATTCAAATTTGGAAAAAGAAACACAATCCCGAAATGAATATTTCTACGAAAGCATTTCTTAGTAAAAAAGAAAAAGGTTTACTTTTTCAACATTAACTTTTCATATTTTGTTTTTTCAAATTTTATTGAAAATATTTTTTTTCCCAATTTTTTTTTTTTTTTTACAGGTTTTATATTTTCAAATTATGTTTTCATTTTTTTCCCACCTCAAATTTGTCTTGTATTTCTTTGTTTTTTTTTATATTTTTGTTATTCAAATTGTTTTATGAATTGCATTTTTTTTTTCAAATTCTTTACCAGAAAATATTCTCTGCTCTTATATACGTGTTATTCTTAATCTAAAAAATCTAGAGAAAGAAAATTTATTTTACTCTCAAAACAAATTTTTTAATCAATTTGTTATTCAAAATTGAATTTCTGAATTTCATTTTTTTTTCTTCCAAATTTCCATTTACAAAACATGTTCTTGCAACAATAATGAGACAAAATTCACTCCATACAGTAGCATTCATTTGGTAGAAAGTTGGTCAAAGATTAAAATTTGCACTGATTACAGAGTTAGTCCTAACTAAGAACATGAAATGGATTCCTCTGAAGTTTCCCATTCTGACCCTCTTTAATGGAAAATGGCAAAACTGTTGGTTGTCATAACTTTTTTTTTTTGTATTTTTATTATATAGGAAATATAATTAATTCTACATTAAATATGGAATTGAGTAAAAGCCATCAAGTAGTTCTGCCGTGTCAGGCTGGGCTCCTGCTTTCTGTCATGGAGAAGTATGTCTCTAAATTTGGTTCTGTTTGGTTTCAAAGGATCAATGAGAGCTCCTTTAGAAAAGGGTCCAGGAGGCACAGCTAACTACAGCTTTTGGAAAATGATGCAAACACAAAAACAGGTTGGAAAAGTTTTTAAAAAAGTAAAACTGCAGCAACAACTTTTTGTACACGGGAGGTGAACATATTATGATGTGGACCTGAGAGATCTTCAAGATGAGAAACTGATAAGTTTAATGTCCAAACCATTTCTACAAGGATCCTTTTCTCTAGAGAACTTATCATTGATAACTTTAAAATTAAGTTAACTTTGTAAGTTGCTTTGGATAAAAGCATCTGCTAAATGCATAAACATAACAGAATAATTTTCATTAGGATTTTCAGAAGTAGCTCAGAAAATATCCATCAGAATTAGTTTTCTCATAAAAGCAACACAAGATAAGATCTGCATGTTTAAGCACCATAAAACAGAAGACAATCTGACACGTAACTCCAAGTCCTGAAATGTCTTAAAGTCCCTCAGTTTTCAGTGGACTTTTGGCAGGGAGGCTGCAGCAGTTTACTCAGAAACACAGACGTAAACAAAACTGTTGGTACCCCCGTTTAATAAAAGAAAAATTGTGTCTATGTCAAAGTTTAATTTAAATAAATGAAAACAGCTCATTAAATTATTAGAACAATGTAAATAAACTCATGAAAGAGACCTAGAACAGACTGAAGAATAATGTGACCAAAGGGGCTTGTTCTATCAAGACGTGTCCACTAGTTAGCATCAGCGGTTAAAAGTAAAGGCTATAAGACCGTCTCCAAGCAGCTGGATGTTCCTGTGACTACAGCTGCACATAGAAATAAATGTAAGAATCATCTGACTGTAGCCGACCTCCCAGATGTGGCAGCAGTTGAGAAACTGATGACAAATCAAAGAGATGTATAATATGAATGGTGACAAAATAGCCCAGATAAAACTTCTAAAGAGAATTAAAGAAGGACTTCAAGCTAATGGGTGCGTCAAATCGCACCGGTCCTCCTAATTGTCAATCATTCTGTTGATATGTTGACATAAGGCCATCCTACGTGCTCGGCCCCATTTTCACTAACCAGTTCTTGTGCAAAGTAAGCTTAAATGAGCGACACAAACAGCAGCTATCAAACAGAGCGTGCATGAGGAGAAATGGGCTTGTGCATGCTATCACACGCGTAAATATTCACTTATTTCTATATATGAGCCCTATATATACATATATGTATATATATATGTATATATATATATATATATACATACACATATACATATATACATATATATATATATATATACATATATATACATATATATATATTAACACTCATTTTGGTTTTAACTTTGCTGATCTTTATCCAATCAAGAGTTGGAATCAGAAAAATCTTTTTCTAAACTGTTTTTCATATTCAAGGTCTTTACTTTGCTTATAATGTGCTTCACATTGACAAACAAATTATATAAATAAATTTGGAAATATATAACTTATATAAGAATACATGATATAATTAAATAAAAGCAAAAATTGAGAAAAAACAGTTCAACTTTTTGCAGAGAAATAAACAGAATAGTGGTTATCTTAAAATAGAAAATAACAATAAAATCATATTCATTGTATTTGCATGTGTGGACGTCTTTGTGTTATTTTTTAAGGGGAAGGATCAGTGGGCGACTCTGCCATGTTAATGAGGATAGCTGCAGATGGGAAGAAGCTGTTTTTGGGTGAGAGGTTTTGGTCCTGATGGACCTCAGCCTCATGAAAAGGAGTCTGGAACAGTTTACAAAATATATTTGATCTTCTGAGACACTGAATGTGATAAAAGGGGCAAAATAAATTAGCTTCCTTTTCAGTTATAATTGTACGCTAACCTTTTATAAATCTGTTTTCTGTTTTGTAGCAGATACTTGGAAACACACTGACTCTACTAAAAGAAGCTGATGTGACACAAAGAGATATAAAAACTATCCACAAACAACACAGATAGATGGTCTTTGGACTTTTTTTTAATGGGCTGGTGTTAATAATTATTCTAATGAATAAACTGCTGAATCTGCATGTCAAAGTTCCCTGTTAAACTGACCAGCCCACCCAGCTGCACCGTTACATCCACAGGTAAACTAGAACCACCAGACTGTAAGAGAAAGAGAAGAGATGGAGGAACCCTCATCTGGAAAAGGGATTATTAACAATGCAGCAGACCTCAGCGTCATCGTTGGATACTTCCTCATGGTCATCAGCGTTGGTGTTTGGGTGAGTCCCTCAGTCTGTTTTTAGGTCATTAAGACGTTAGGAAAAAACGTGACTATCAAATATGAGCAGAACACTCATAACATCCCGGTTTCCTACAGTCCGCGTTTCGTACCAACCGTGGGACGGTGGGGGGATATTTCCTGGCAGGACGCTCCATGGCTTGGTGGTCGGTGAGTTCAGAGGGCAGCAAGACATCTGAAGAAATATTTAAAGTGATCTACAAAAAATCACAGAGAGAATTGTAGTGGGAGAGGATGCATGAAAACAAAAGGATTTCCTTTCCACATCTTGGTTGCTTTTTGAAACTTTCTTACATTTTGTTTTAAGTTGCACACCTGATTGCAGGTTTAAAATGTTAATTTATCAAAGGATTCTACCTCTGAAATTATACTTATCCTGTGGTGCCAGGATCAAAAGGGCTGAGTACAAATGCATGCCGCACTTATTAGATTTAGGTAAAGGCTGACCTTCCTGTTTCTTATTATTTTTTTTTTTTTATGACCTTCCTGCTTCAATGACACCTATTCCACTACTGCACCCTCTGCTCCTCTACTGGGGCTCATTAAAGCTTCCCATTTCAACCACAAATGAGAAACCTGAGGGCAAAAGGATTTAAATGAAATTCAAATTTGTAGTATTTTGGAAAGTTTTAGAGTTTTAGAGCTCAGGTAACTCTTGGAGGATACATTTTTAGTCAAATATGCAAGAGGAGAGTCTCAAAGAAAGTTTTCCATCCTCCCCTTAGTTTTTTTATGCCATTACTGCTCTCCTTTACCCCCTAACAGTACAGGGTGTGTTTCTTTTGCAGGTTGGCACCTCCCTGTTTGCCAGTAATATTGGGAGCGGCCATTTTGTGGGCCTGGCGGGAACAGGTGCTGCGGCGGGCATCGCAGTGGGAGGCTTCGAGTGGAACGTAAGAAGTGCAGATCTCACTA